GTAATGACATTCTACGGTTCGACAAGGCATATGACGAGAATGACGTGAAGGAGTTCGTGAATTTGTGTTCGTCCACATGCGAGGTGAGGGCAATACCAAAAGGAAAAGGACAACTGTGTGCACTTATTGCGCAATTTCGCCTCTGTACGTCCGTATCTGAGTACACATTTCTCCGCCCCCCCCCTCCACCCCCCTGCAGATTGAAAAGTTAGAGGATAGAATGCACCCCTGGGCGGCTGACCCTAAAACGATAGGAGCACTGTCCGCGACGCAGTTGGCCATATTGGCCAGTAAAGAGAGTACGAGAAATAAATGAGAAAAATACATTTACAAATTGTCCCCTTTCTTCTACTTCCAAATGGATACATTATCTTTGCGCACGTGTGTGATAATGAGTTTGAGCGGAGCACGCGTGGACCTTGGTCCAATTGGACTCATTTGAGACCCTTCGCATGATTGTCCCTCCTGCTGCTGCTGCTCCTCCTCATCTAATTCATCTTCTCCTCTGCGCCTCTCCTTCCAAGATGAACCCCATTACAAAGACGCCATTCGTGAAGCCGACGGAATACCCGTTTTTATAAATCTGCTAAAATCACACGTAATAACTTTTTAGGGGGCGAAAAAACTGCGTCCTTTTAAGTACACAAAAGATACTATCGGGGCGTTTTCCTTTCACTCTGCTTCGCTTTTTTGCAACACAGGAACTGGACAGAGTGCACGCGGCCGTCGTGGCGTTATCCTTTTTGTCCGTCGACAGTAAGAAGCGGGGAAGAAAAAAAGAAAAAAAAAATATATATGTATATATATATACATACATAGTGTAGAGCGCGAACCCCTGGAGACCGAAAAATAAAAGGCGGCCATGAAGAAGTCCCATATACGAGGCGCAGCAGGGTTAATTCCCGCGTCGATGAACTTACGCACCCCATTAGTTTCTCACTCTCCACATTCATACTTCCCCCCTCCGCAGATGTGAAAAACTGCATTGCGATGTTTGAGAATGGCGCCCTGCCTTACCTAATCAGCGGGATGAAGTCAAACATTGACGGCATGAAGGCGGCCTGCGCCCAGACGTGTAGAAATATTTTCGTTCTCGGTGAGTGCAACTGAACACGTGGGGGTGTGGGTATTTCCCCGGAGAGGCCAATTCCACCGCAGGGGAGTTTCCTCGGATGTGCTTCGCCGTACCAGTGCTACACCACGTCGATGCTCCATGGCAAAGTTGTCCATTCCCTCCTCACTCCCCTTTTTGCAGACAAGAAGTACAAGAAGGAATTCTTAAAATTGGGAGGAATTACCCAGCTCGTGAATTTGCTTGAGATGTAATGATTGAGAGAAGGGAGGCGCGAAGTGGTGATTGCAGTTCGGTTCAACAAACGTTACGTCTGCCTCGGCATCCTTGTGTTTGATTACCCATACACCCATTCCTTTTTTTCCCCTTTTCCCCCGCCACGCGCAGGCCGCGCAAGTACGACGATAGCCAGCCGCTGTACACGCAGCTGGAGGCCATTTACCACTTGGAGGATTTTATACTGGTAGGGCCAGCCGGTGCACACCCATATGCATATACATATGCATACATATATATCAATTTATACTTTTATTTGGCGATTATAATCGTTCCACGTAGATAGGGCGCGCCAAAAAAAAAAAGAAACAAGAAGGCTCATGAAATGTGCCCAGATATACTCACTTAGGAAACGCAACGAATGCCCATTCTGATTTTTTCTCTTTTTTGCCCCGCATGTCTGAGCAGAATGATGGAGACGAAGTGCCAGAGTTTTTGGAAGCCGTTAAAAATTCCAACGCGATTAAAAGTTTGAAAAATCTGCAGCAGGTAAGACGGGAGGAGTAATTTCTTTTTTGGACTCCCCCCAGGGAGGACACAAATGTGTACCTATGTAACTACATAACACTATGTCCACACCACGTGCACACTTTGTGTGTGTCCCCACCACTTCCCCAACTCGCAGTGCCCCGAGCAGGACGTGGCTGAAGCCTCAAATGTTCTCCTACTGAGACTCACTGACTAATTTTCCCCCTTGGGCTAATTTTTTTCACACACATGTGGAGGTGTACATTGGCCTTTATCTGTCAACGCCGCAAACATGTATGCAAGTTCTTCACACTCACGCTGCTACTTTTTTTTTTTGTCATTTTTCTACTATTTGTAAAAGAGTGATGCTTTCGTTAAGTGTTCACGTGTCTGAGAATTCGAAGATGTTTTGCACCTGCTTCGCCTTTATTAAAAAAAAAAAAAACTTTGACATAAGCATGTGCAAAGTGTGCATGGTACAGAGGTGCAGCTGCACTCACGTAAGCGTATATATTTATATATGTTCACGTAGGCCCATACAACGCTATGTGCACGTAAGCCCATACAACGCTGTGTGGACAGTAACCCTTTCCCCCTGTTGCCATTTCAATACGCAACGGAGAAGACAGGCACCAGGCATGTCCCACTTCTCAAATCTTGGTCCCTATGCCCCTTGTGTCATACCTTGTCATGCGTGCAAAAGAGGGAATATAATCGGGTCTCTAACATGCGTATGTACAAGTGTGTACGTACATATGGATGCGCACGGTTGCTGTGCGCGCGGCGGATTTATCAACTTTAATATTTACGTAACCACTGCAGTATGGCGCAGGATCTTTAATTTTTTAAGCTAACCGAATGGTCTGTATGGTTGACTTCTTCCCTTGCGTGGATGGTGCGGGTGCTTCTTCCCTCTTGCAATTCGATTCGCGATGCTGAGGAACCCTTCTTAGCCTTTTCGCCGTTTAGCCTCTTGTTAACCCTCTTTAACCATTTGTGACACCTCTCAAGTGGAGGGTTGGGGGGGAGCTGTGTCTCCTAGCGTAGGTCAGTACCCCGTATAGCTCAGTACCCCGCGTATGTCAGTACTTCTCGTACGTCAGCACCACGCGTAGGTCAGTACTCCTCGTAGGTCAGTACTCCTCGTATGTCAGCACCCCGCTGAACGGTATATCGGAATCTCCTTAGACTGCAGAAGCATTTCGGAAAAGTTGGATATGTTTTCTAGTCCCCGTATTTCGCTCTTCAGTTGGGGCATGCAGACGATGTGAAAGTCGTTACTGTAGAGATTCTTTATCTGAGTCAGATACTTTGACTGGAGCTTCCTTCTGGATATGTACACATCTTCGAGTTCCTTGGTTTTCTGTACAAGGCTAGTAAATGATTCTTGTACTTGTTTATCCTTAATCTTTTTGAGGAGCCCTTCACAATGGGACACATCCACCGTCATGGAGTCCAGAGGAAATACCACCTGATTCACCACTATGTTGTAACAAGAGATGTTCTTCTTTGTCAGTTCTTGTATCAACCGTTCTGTTTCGTACACACTTAGAAACTCTGGGATACAGACACATACAAAAGTGGTCTTCAAAGGATTTTGAAAATTTGACTGAATACTAATTGACATGGCATTAAGGTGATTAATTTTTTCGTAAATTCCTTCCAGTTCCATTTCATTATTTGTAAAGCTTTTGAGCATATTTAAAGTCCCATTGAGTTTCTCTCTCAAGCTGATAAGATACCCTAATGCCTTTTTCAATAACTCTGGAAAGGCTAACAGTCGCAGAGTATGTCCCGTCGGGGCTGTATCGAAGACGATAACTGAGTACTTCATATTCTTTATGGATTGCATTAGCTCTGCGAAACATAAAGCTTCGTCAATTCCTGGGAAGCTTTGTAGCAGCTCCGGAATTATATTGTCAAAGAATTCGGTCTTCTTTAATTTGAATGCTGTGTTTTCCGAATACGTCGTGTCTATTTCCATGCAGTATAGATTATCGAAGGAGTTAATGAGGGTTGGCTGATTGGTAAACTTTTGATTGAAGGCATCACTTGTGTTGTGTGCTGGGTCTGTGGATAGGAGTAGAACAGACTCCCTTCTTTTGGCTAGCTGTACTGCTATTGAGCATGATGTGGTGGTTTTTCCAACGCCTCCCTTTCCCCCCACGAAGATCCAGTTCAGGGTCTTGTTGTCTAGCAGCTTGCTCAAGTTCGTGTCATACTCCTCCTCGTCGTATTCGTCGCTCTCCAGGGTCAGGGAGCACGAGAGCGATTCCGCGTCGCTCATCGTGGTGGCCGGTGTTAGCGGTACTAGCCGTATTAGCCGTTTTAGCGGTGGAGGCCTGTCACCATGTCGGCACTGCTGCCCCGTTCGCCCGTTAACCCACTGTGACGGCTGCTTTCACTTCGTGGGCGCCTCTGCCGCGCGCACCGTCGCCTGGAATACAACGCAGGGACAAGCGCTG